ATGGATGAACAAGACCGATGCTTTCTTGAACAGTGCATTTGGCAAGGCTGCTAAAGGACATTGCCTAGTTTTGTGTCCCTGCAGCAAATGTGGAAACAGGAGAAGGGTAAACAAGGTGGAAATGGGTAAACATCTTGTGAAGAATGGATTTACGCCGGACTACACCCGGTGGGTCCACCATGGTGAAGCCCATCGTATGAGAGAGGAGGTGGTGAGACCACGGGTGGAGGCTTTTGATGCTGATGCGGGGGTAGCAGATATGTTAGATGACTTTCACCATGGCCAGTTCGATGATGGACGTGAGAAGGAGGAGATGGAGGCAGCCGCACAGGCGTTCTACGACATGATGGACTCAGCACAGAAACCCGTTCACGATCGATCAACGGTGTGTCAACTGGATGCCATTGGACGCTTAATGGGGTTGAAGTCCGAGTTAAACTTGAGTCGAGAAGGCTTCGATAAGATGTTGGCCGTGATTGGCACCCTGCTTCTGGAGGGCCACATTCTGCCAAAAAGCATGTACGAGTCACAGAAACTCCTTCGTGCACTTAAGATGTCGTATGAGCAGATACATGCTTGTCCCAAGGGGTGCGTCCTATTTAGGAAAGAACACGAGCATGCAAAGTTCTGTCCAAAGTGTAAATCCTCTAGATACCTGGAGGTAGACTCTGATGATGGCTAGAAGAGGCAACTTACGATCCCCGTGAAAATCCTACGGTACCTTCTGTTCCTACCGAGGATCCAACAGCTATACATGACCGAGGAATCCACGAAACAGATGACATGGCACAAAAATGGCAAACGGTACAATCCTGACAAGATGGTACATCCATCCGATGGTGAAGCTTGGATCCGCTTTAATGACAAACATCGTGATAAACCAGATGAGGCTCGTAATGTACGTGTCGCGCTGGCAATAGATGGGTTCAATCCTTATGGAATGATGGCTGCCCCATACACATGTTGGCCCGTCTTCGTTATCCCCCTTAATCTCCCCCCCGGTGTCTCCTTTCAACAACATAATGTATTCTTGTCGTTGATAATTCCTAGACACCCAGGGAGTAATATTGGTGTGTTCATGGAGCCCGTGTTTGATGAATTGGTCCGTGCTTGGGACGAAGGGGTATGGACATACGACCGAGCTACAAAGACAACCTTTGGATAGTGTTGATTATTTGGGCAATGACAATGTTGATAGTGATGACGAGACCTATGATCCAGCTAATCCCAATCATGAAGATTATTTCTAATACATGTAATACTATGTTTTTGTAATTATGTTTTATTTATTTTGCATCTATTTCTATTTCTAATTACGTCTTGTTTATTCTTTTTAATTGCAGGTGATTGAACAAAGATGGAGGGCCGAAGCGACTGTCACAGGGACGTGTCCTCGTTTACCAAACACGACGCACTGCAGATGCCGCTCCAGGTGAGGGGCCGTCGGATAGGAGGAGGAGGAGGAGCAGCCGCCGCAGGAGGTAGCCGCCGCCGCCTCCTACCACACAGCGTGAGGAGGACGAGGAGGAGGCGAGGCCTAGGGACGACGACGAGCTGGTTCAGCAGACGGACGAGGAGGAGGGGGCGCACGAGGGGGAGGGGACGCACGAGGAGGATGGTACGGGTTCCGCTTCCTCTGGTTCGTCCAACGTCTACTTGCGAGGTCCGGCGAGCCTCCCTCTAGTTCCGCTTCCTCACCAACGCCCAATGATTCACCCCGAAGGGCAAAAGTAAGTAACTTTAGATTTAATCACCACCACTTCATATGATATGTTGAAAAACGCTAGAGAAACTAATAATTTTTCTTAATTACTTGTGCAGGAACTGGACGATTGTGTCGGGTGGTGGTCATGGACGCCTGGTCAATGGCGTCCTGGGTCTTCTGTGCAGGCAACACTATCCTGGCCTGGTTGACTACGCCAGCAGGAGGGAGCCGGCCTGGACATTTGACCACAACGCCGCCGCCCCCGATGTGGGTTACCCCAACAAGGCGGAGCGGGTGAAGGCGGAGTTTTGGGTAAGTCTCCCTCACACTACACTGCTCAATATATCGCATTCATTGGACTTTTCTTGAAATAATGAATGGATACATCGCGTCTGTATGTAGACTTATTTCAGATGCGAGGAGGGATCTGAGGCCAAGGCAGATTTGGTGGCTACCAAAGCCTGTAAAAAACTCGTCACCGACATGCATCACGAGACGCGCATCCAGACCATCATAACCTACTACGGGTCAAAACTTGGAGAGAAGGTCAGCAAAGAAGAAGCAAGAAAGATGACGCTGACCTGGGACCAGTACCTTGAGGTAGATAAAGAACATTAATATTGATTCGTTTTGAGATTAAGTTGGTTTAATTTGATCTTTTTATATGTCAAATACTTGATGATGTGTAGATGTGTCCCTGGTGGTGCTCCTCGTATCCCGAGTGCTGGGCGATGATCGTGGACAAGTGGTTCACGCCCGCGTGGACCAAGACGCACGAAGCTGCCCGGGAGCGGCGTTTGCAGATGCAAGGTCCAGCACACCATCAAGGCAACTACAACCTCGCCGGATACAAATAATTATGGGTACGCGAATTCATTTATCTATTCTGACGCTCAATTATGCCTGATTTCTAATCATCTTTCTCGTAGTCGGAGGCACATGGTGGTCAGCAATGCTCCAACTTCCAGGCATGGTGTATGTCCCACAAGGGCAAGGCGACGTCCGCCGTCTCCTACAACCCGGAGGACCCGCCCGAGGCGTACACCAACCCGAGCGTCCACCCCCGCATCAGTGAGTACACATCAGCGGCAAGGTCAGTCCATGGGCCACAGTATGACTCGAGCACCCAAGACTTTGATGCAGAGATCGTCATGAGGGTGGGTGGAGGCAAGAAGCATGGGCGGTACTAGCTTGGTGACGGCATCATCGACTCGACCTCTACTCCCTCTCTCTCCTAGATCCAAGCACGGAGCACGAGTGAAGGCCCGGCCATACGGCCACGGCCAAGCGCTTCACAGCAACGGGTCGACGCACTCGAGGTTATTCCTGTTTTACTCGTCGTAGATTGATCTTTACACACCTTAATTAGTTTTGCATTACTGAAACATTGGAGTGAAATATTGTAGGTCCGGCTGGAAGAAGAAGCAAGGCAACGTCAGGACCTGGCGGCCTAGCTGCAGTCCGAGCGGGCCGCGCGAGAGGCCCAGGCACAGAGGATGGCGGAAATGATGCAGTTCATGCAGACTCTTGGGCAACATATGGGTCTAGTTGTGCCACCTGGGCTGTTCGCTCCACCTCCGACTCCTGCAGTTGCAGCTACTCCTGTGAGTTTTCGCTTGTGCTTTGCTTGTATGACCTAGATTAGCTATCCAAGTAATCTTGTCTAACACATGCAATGTCTTCTCCTTTGTGCAGCCTTAGTCGGAGGGTTCAAATAATCCAGCTCATGCGCCTCCGACTGATCCAGCTTTTCCTTCATCAGGCACTCAGTTTCCACCTTTCTGATGAGTAGCATAGTTGTATTTGCATTTGTTGTTCACTTGGTGATGGATTTCTGATATACTTGTCATGCACTAGTGGTATATTTGGATAACTGTGATATATGCGATAGATGTTTGGATTGATGTATGTGATATATGTGATGAATGTGATATATGCGATGGATGTGATAAATATATGATGCATGTTTGGATGGATGTGAGATATATGTGATAATTTGTGTTTGTCGTGATGGAATGTAAAAAAACACTATTTTTGGTCAGTTTGCCGAGTGCAATAGTCACTGCACTCGGCAAAGCTAAAAAAAGTAGCAACCCGTTTTCCAGCTTTGCCGAGTGCCATGACCATAGCACTCGGCAAAGATTTTTTTTTTTTTAAAAATAAAAACTTTGCCGAGTGCCACTTGTCCGGCGCTTGGCAAAGAAATTTTTAAACAAAAAAAATAAAAACTTTGCCAAGTGCCATCCCGGGCGGCGCTCGGCAAAGAAATTTAAAAAAAATTAAAAACTTTGCTGAGTGCCATCCCGGGCGGCGCTCGGCAAAGAAAGAATTTAAAAAATAAAAACAAAAAACTTTGCCGAGTGTCAGCCCGGGCGGCGCTCGGCAAAGAATTTAAAAAATAAAAAACTTTGCCGAGTGTCGTCCGGGTTGGCACTCAGCAAAGCCGCCGTCACCGTTTCCTGGGCCGCGACCGCTCGTTTTCTTTGCCGAGGGCTGGCTCGGCACTCGGCAAAAGCTTTGCCGAGTGTCCGACAAATGGCTCTCGGCAAAGGCTGCTTTGCCGACCATTTTTTTCCCGAGTGGCCTTTGGCGAGTGTGGCACTCGACAAAACCTTTGCCGAGTGTATTTGGGCCTTTGCCGAGTGTATTTGGGGCTTTGCCGAGTGCTGCAGCGCTCGGCAAAGCGCCTGAATCCAGTAATGTACGGGCCAGATGGAAAAATAGCAGAAATTTTGACTCTTCAATATTAGGTATATATTGATATAATATATTATACTTGACCCTTTAGTATTTTGTATATTTTTAGTAAATCAGAAAAATATTTTAAATTTTTATTAAAAAATGTTGAAGTTATTTTGTGTTCCAAAGGTATTTGTGTCTTGGATATACTGCATTTTAACAAGTGCCGCCGCTCCAATCTCGTTCAGAGTTTTAACAGAACCATCAAGAAATACATACAAAATTCATTTTTCTTTCTTTTTCACATACGAAACAATTGGAAAATAGTTTATATGGAAGTTCAGGCCATTAGCTTTGGGCCCCTGACAAATACAAGGCATCGTTCATAATAATTCAACATTACAAATATTGAAACGGGCAAATGTACCACTTCATTTATTGCATATATAGCAAGGTAACAGTGAACATGAACGATGCATTATTAGTCAGGGTGCTGGAGAACATGTCTCCACTACCTCTGGCACTGCAAAGAAAAATATGGGTTCCAAACCACACAGGCACACAGCAAGTTTTCCATGCGTGCAGTGCGTGCCACCATACATCAGCCAGCAGTGTTCTAATTAAGCGCTGGCGTAAGAATCTTATCTTCAACCTTCTTGGCAGCTCCATTGAACTCTTGCAACCACCTGGCTGACAGCTTCATGGTGCGCTTGCAGCCGTGTTTGCGGTCAACGTAGACGAGTCCGAAACGTTCGGTGTAGCCGGTGGCCCATTCAAAGTTGTCCAGCAGAGACCAAGTGAAGTAGCCGTGCACATTTGCTCCCAAGCTGGCACGAACGGATGCAATGCAAATGCAAGCATTATTATTATTATCTTAATTGAATCGTGCGCCACATATAAATAATGTACATGTGTATATATATAGTGCAACAAAATGTGTACTAATCAACGGACAAGATTCTATGTATGAAATAAGCGAAAAGAATGAAATAAACTAGAGGTAAGTTTTATAGATTCATACTCCATTGACTCCTTAAGAGTTGCGATGTGGCGCTGGAGGTACTCTACCCTTTTGTGGTCATTCAAGGCAACTTGTATGGGTAGATTGCCATTGTCAACGTCACCCATCCCTGTAAAACAAACAAATCACCCTATTCAGTGCCTCACTTCCATGGATTATCCGGCCAAGTCATCTCAGTCGTCCGCCAGATGTTTTAATGAATACAGTAACTTATTAGCAAGCTATGGGGCGAGCTTTAGTTTCGGCACATTCATTGTCCTGACTAGATGCCCATACCATGTGATTATTATATGACAAGCTCAGACTCAATATGCAACTGATTTCATTTTCTTTTTGGGGACGATATGATCCCGATTAGACCAGATACGTACATCACTGGATCCGGTCTTTGTGATAGTGATTCATCTAGCCTAGCTAATGTGTATATATATATATAGGATTAAGCTCATCTTTCAAACAAAGAAAACAGAGCTATTCTTGCGAAATTGAAACCATTTGTGACGGTGATCCAGTCTTTGTGATCATGAAAAGTTTAGTTACTTACTTTTCAACGTTTTGCTTGTTTAAAAAGTATCAAAAACCCTTTATTTACAAAAGGTCCATGAGAAGAATAAAAAGATACAATTGCTTGTAGGTAGCTAAAATTTAGTACAACCTATGACTTAAATTGCAACAAAAATGCAAAAATATATAGCATTTTATTACTTACCGTTCTCAGTGATGTATATGGGTGGGTTTCCGTATTTGTTCTTCATGATCATAAGGACATCCTTTAGGCCTTCAGGGTACATGTAGATCCACGAATTCCCCGTCTGCAAACTGAAGTATGAATATCGATCCAATATGCATATTACAAGAACAAACGACATATTTGTTCCGATTTAATGCCAACACAAAACATTTGCATGCCTAACGAACTTTCCTTTTTCACGTGTCAAACTTTAACCATGAGTATATGATTATATTTAATTTTGTATGGGTTTTTTACATTATCACTTTGAGCATAAAATATGGTAAAGAATAATATAGTGTTAGGACGGCACGTACAGAAGGACCAATAGGATTCCCGTCAGGCCCATACGCTGGTTGACACAGAAGAATAAAAGTGCACGATTAATATGAGAATGTCAGATTTTTTTAATGGAACAATGAAGCAGTAAGGTTATTAGTACCCAACTATTGTTCCTTACTTTCTTTTGTGGCATAGGCGTCATCAGTGTTGAACACTGGCAAGTAGTTTGATGAGATGTCGATGTGCTTGGAGAACTTTGAGGTGTAGTAGTTTATCCCCATCATGTCATAGGAACCCACTAGCTTCTCTTGCTCTTTGTCATTGAAAAAGGGTAGCCGTTCCCTTGCCAACGATCTCATGGAGAAAGGGTAGTCACCACGAACCACTGGCTCCACGAACCATCCTAGGTTAAGGTCCATGGACCTTTCTTGGGCATGTTGATCCAGAAATGTATTTTCGTATGGCAGATAACCCATTACGTCAAACACAAGCCCTATGCGTCTGTTCTCATCCTGCAATTTATTTATCAATATTGGAGTATATATTGTACCACTACCTATTAATTTAGAAGAGTGTATATGAGTCTTTGAATATATATAGGTACCTTGTAATACTTGTTGTAAAGATCGACAGCCTCAGCGTGGGCTCGGAGAAGGTTGTGGCCAACAATGTATGGCTCTGTGAGTGAGTTTGCAGTTGGGATAGCACATTTTTGTCCCGGTGAACACCGCCCTGGGGCAAGGGTCCCGGTTCCGTATGACATAGAACAAAATATATGGGGCTCATTAAAAGTCAACCAATTCTTCACTTTGTCACCAAAGTTCTCAAAGCACACCTTAGCAAAGTCTGTGTAATCTTTTCTGAAAAATTGCAAAACCAAATGATGTGTTATATATGCTAATTAACTGGCAATTCCATGAATGACAATTGATGATGCTGTTTCTCTAATACTTTTGATGCGAACCATAATGAAATTAAATCATACAAATTCATTGTCCAAAATGTATGAAACTCCAGAATTGCCATCCTCTCATTGGTATTCTTTGTTTGTGCAAGGAGAGTGAGAGCAAGTAGACTAAATAATGATAGATGTGAGCATATCATTTTAACTGTGTATAGTACTTACACAATCCTCTGATCTAAAAAGCCACCATACTTGTCTACCAGTGCTTGAGGCGTGTCCCAGTGGAAAATTGTTACAAATGGCTGTATGCCTGGGTTGCAATGAGTAAAAAATGATTCGTGTGAAAACTTTTTCTCACTGGATTACGATCTTCATTAATTAATTAAGCTGCTAATCTAACCAGGAAGAAAAATGGGTTTTTACCGTTCTCTAGCAACAAGTTGATGAGCCTTTTGTAGTAGTGGATGCCTTCCCAGTTAATACCTCCTTCGAGCGTCCCTTCTGAAAGTCGTAAGCATACGCTGAAATTAGCATCATAACAATCCAACAACTCTTATTGCCTTATTGTATGCATTAATGCATGCACCGTGGAAAACATACTTCGTAATTTTAATATGTGTATTCCCTCTGTTCCAAATTATAAGTCGCTTTAATTTTTTTTTACATCCATTTTACTATACATCTAGATATAATAATATGTCTAGATACATAGTAAAATGGATGAAATAAAAAAGTCAAAGGGACTTATTAATTAGAACAGAGGGATTATTACTTACTCGGTAGAATTCTGGGCCAAGAGATGGAGAACCTATAGGCGTCCATGCCCATTTCCTTCAGCAATCTGACATCCTCCTGCCAGTCAAAAGTATACTAACATAAATAATGATGACAGTATATATTAACAAGCATATTAAGTTAGTAGTGCATATACATTAACAATTTTTTGCCACAAAAAATATGCACAATACAAAATAGATCCCTTCATAATCATACATATTTACATGTTTAACAGAGCTAGCTGCATACAATACATCTCAGGTACTTCCAGGTAATTATAATATAGCTAGTCATCAATGACATAATCTCAGTACTTACAGGGTACATATGGTACGAATTGGTTGCAACGTCCCCATTGCTCCCGTCCGCTATCCTTTCTATTGATGATATGCACATGAAAGAACGAAAAGGAAGAATTAAGGAAAGAAGGACATCACATATGATGGTTATACACTGAAAATTGCATCTTATTGTTGGTACATATACAGCCTGCGTGCTTATTATTATAAACAAAAAAAGGCTGGGCCGCTGGGGTATATGTACGTTACCCGGATAAGTGTGGCAGAAGTGATCCCAAGTGCTTGGCCCCTTTCCATCTTCATTCCAACCACCTTCGATCTACGCAGATATATATCATATGTATAGCACTTAATTTTGTGCATATCAAACAAATAATTAAAATATCATAGTGTTTGGTTGGTACAACAGTAACGTAAACGTAAATGAAATTAGTTCAATTGCATTTCCCGCCGGTAAGATCTGCAGCTTTAAATCATTTGCGTTTGCGTTAGTGTCGGTAAAACCAAACAGCTCGTACAATGCATTCACACACATCATCTCTTTTTCTTCTAGGTATTAGCTGTCATTGTAATAACTGTTAACACTACTTTCCTTTCATATCTAACAAAGATGTAAACATTCGTGCTAGAAAATAATACTTGGTATGCAGAAGTGGCGGCGCCAAAGATGAAGTCAGAGGGGAACCAGTCCCTTTTAGGGATTTCCCAGGAGCTCAGCTTTTGGACTCCATTCTCACTGCCTGCTACTCTTTCAGCTCGTGGCCTAAAGCTAAGGTTACACCTTCGCTTACTGTTTTGTGATGAAGAAGAAAGGTGGTGCCGTGAGAAACTCTCATTATTGGGTCGTCCTAGATGGCTTCTAAGGCCTTGATGGGCAGTGTGATTCATGGCAGCAGCAAGAAGTGGAGACATATGTCTTGCTAGCTGGCTAAAGTTTTGAGCTGCTTGTTTATAGTAGGAGAGGCTGATGCAAGTGTCTATTTATAGTCCAAGATGCCGACTGTCTAAGCGGGTTATTGCCAATTATTTTAATATGTAGCGGAATGCTCGTGATGTGTACAGTACACACTGCCTATTTAGGTCAATCTCAATAGGAGTAGCATAGAGTTTTATAGACATTAGATACTCTGACATGGTATTGTATTGCTGAAGAAAGATGATAAAAGTTTAATGAAGTAGAGAGAGTTTCATGAGAATAAAATTCTTCTGAACCATTTCTAAAATCTGAGTGCATTGAAAACTAAGAGATGAAACCTCCACTACTGACACTGGCCTTACTAGCGAGCCAGCACATCTGGTTCGATGGTGCAAAAATTGCACGCGTAAAGCTCATGCTGTAGTGTGAACTGGCCTTGCCAACGTTGTACAGTTTAGAATCACTTTCGGCTTTCCACGTCAACTTAATTATTACGTACGGAGTATAGACCATCGAAGTTGACCGGTAACCACATGCACCGGGCAGTATAGTTGTCCATGCAGCCCGAGCACCGGCTCGGAGGAGTAGGCCGTGCCTGGGCCTTACCCCAAGCACGTGGCCCAGCACGGCACGGCCCGCTACAGAATCGGAGTCCCGCTGGTGGCCCGGCCTGCCAACCGCGCGCGGCCGCGCCCCCAGCTCACCTCCCCGGCTCCCCCTAACCCGATCTCCTCTTGCTGCACGCGGCCGGATCCTCCTCGGTGGCGTCCATTGCCACCTCCCGCGGGCTGCCCCTGCCTCCTCCTGCCACGCGCGGGTGCGCGGCTGCCGCCTCCAGCCGGATCCGCCTCGGGGACGAGCACGCCGACGGCCGCCGCCACCTCCCACGGCTGCCCCGGCGTCCTCCATCTCTCCCTCCCCGTGCGGATCTCTCTCCCTCTCCCTTGGCTCAGATCCGGTGGCCTGCCTCTCTCCCTCATCCTCGGTGCATGGCGGGCTCCCTCCCACCCTCTCCCTCGGCGTACGGCGGGCTCCCTTGCCGTGCCTCCTCCACTAAGATCCGGTGCAGGTACAATGACCTCCCTCCCTCCCTCACTCTCCCTCGGCGGCGCACGGCTAGGAGCGTGTGGGCGGGCAGATCCGGCGACCCCCTCCCTTCCTTGTTTTCTCTCCTCTCCATCTTGCTCACCCCCTCATAATCTCCTCTCCATCGCTTGAGGGAGGGCGCCGCCTGCGCAGCTCCTGCCCCCGAGATCCGAGCCTCCGCCGCTCCCAGCCCCGGCAACCACCTCCTCCTCGCCTCCCCGCGCGGCCGCGGCGCACGCGCCGGCCTCGAGCACGCCGGCAGCCGCCCTCCTCCCCCAAGGCCCCTGTGCGGTGGCTGGCCTCGAGCCCCTGCCGCTCCTCCACGACCCCTGCATCCTGGCGACCCGGCCTACCCTCTCCTCCCTCCTCTCTCTCTCTGTGACTCTGTGTTGGCACTCAGTGGGTCTCGGGCTGGCACGGCATGTGAAAATGGCCGTGCTTCTCGGGCCGGTCCGGCACGGAAATCGGCCCATAGTGCCGTGCTTGGGCCGAAGGCCAGACTTGTGGCCCTGTGAGGCACGGCCCGGGAGGCATGGCATGCCATGCCGGCCCGTTGGCTATCGGGCCGTGCTGGCATAGACCCGGGCTGGGCTGGCCCGTTGGCCATCTATGCGGGGCAGTGCAAAAATTGCACGCGTAAAGCTGGATCACGTGCTGTAGTGTGAACTGGCCTTGCCAACGTTGTACAGTTTAGAATCAATTTTGGCTTTCCACGTCAACTTAATTATTACGTACGGAGTATAGACGATCGAAGTTGACCGGTAACCACACGCACCGGTTAGCCCATCGAACCAGAAGACGACTAGCACGCATCACACATGTGTAGGACGCGAAAAACTAGCCGCTGATATCGTCCGTTATATAGGCCAATTCGAACCACATGTGTACCAGGCTACGAGCATGACATCACATCTTTGTTTCCTTTTTTCTGCGTCCCATGCAGTATCCTTTTCCCCGTTCCTCTGTTTCCGGTTTTTTATGTCAGCTTTCGATTTGTTTGGTTACCCCAGTCCTACCGTATGGGTTTTTTTTCTTCTAAAAAACAAATAATAAATATAATATCATGAGTCATTTAAACCACTGACACTTCTATAGGAAACAAAGATTTCTACAAACTAAATTACTGATTTAGTTTTGATTCTAAACAAAAGTTATCCATATAGCAAACGCACTCGTGCATTGTAAGAGAACCCAGTATGTGTAGGAATAGGACTCCGTGTCATCCCAAGATGCAAGTTGTTCTAACTCGTATGAACGCATGCCATGAGTCTGGCGTCACATGCTAGATACTTATGGCGCGACCCAATACGTATTGGAATTAGACTCTGTATTCATCCTTGATAGATGTGAGTTGTCCTAACTCATATAAGCATGCATCATGAGTTCGGGTCACGTACGAGACACAGAGTGAAACTCTCCACTGCCCAGCCCAGGTAGTTATGGCGAGGTGGACAAGAAAAATGGGTGAAGAGAAATTTTGTCTTTTTAATATTAGGTATATAGATATACATTAAATTTTTTATCAGCTTATAGTCCAACTAATTAAATCATAAACTGAAAACTTGAGTACTTTGTCATCTAATCTAGTATAAATAAATGTATCACCACAATCCCGATGAGGACTTGTTGAAAAACGAGAGAGGTCTCATATCATAAACATCAGCGGACAAACCAAACCTTGACATGTCAGTGACTAACTCCTCGCCGACTTTAATTAGAGATTTAAACTACAAATTTTTATGTAACCTTAAAGAAAGTCATGAAACTCTGTATTTAATTTTAGCAACACATGGATAGTACGTATGAAAATTAAAGTTATGATTACCTCTAACTATTTCTATGCTTTGCAATTGGAGAAAAAAATCTATCAACGTTGTATTTTAATTTTATATAGGCTTAACATGACATTGTCGTATTATTCCTAATATTAAATTATATTATGGATGCCATGGTCATCATATAATAAATCATTGCTTTGAAATTGTATACAAAAGGTAAACCATAATAAATATATATATGTATCACTCCCATTATCCTTTGTCATGAACATTTGATTTATTTTTCTTTCATTGCAGCGAACGAGCATGTTTACTAGTAAATGTCAAAGGATTTATGACAGTTACGTGCATACGTGATCTACACGCAATTGACATGAACAATATACTAATCATATAAATAAAAATAACAGCCAATATAAATTGCAGCATTGTACTCTCAAGCGGGGCCAGTGCTGTAAGTACAGGAGGCGCCGTTGTTTCGGTCCATATTGACCAAGCGTGTTCAATATAGATGATTAAAAGTTGATATAGTGCAGAGACAAAGCTATGTAGTCATTGTCCACCGTCAGGCCCGGTCCGGTCAATTTATAGACATAGAGCCAAGCTACAACGATGAACGATAGGCCCTTTAATACAACTCTAATAATATAATAATATTTCTAATAAGTGTAACACATTAAAAACATTCTTATGAAATAAGTTATACATCTTATATTATCTTAAAAAATTTCTTCTAACATTTGCTGCTGCAAAGTCATTGATGATGACCTCAATATCAATTTTATCTAATAGTTTCTTCTCGATGCATAAAGTTGCCAAACCATTTAATCGTTCTTGAAACATTACGGACCTCAAATAATTATTTAATAATTTAAAACATGCTCAAAAGTGATTTGGGGTAGGATGGAGCTTTGCTTCTTGAGGCCCCAAAACATGCTCACATGCATTTTGCCAAACGTTTACCAATAGGATCCAATAAGCAATAAAAAAATTAGGATAACAATCGGGCCTTAATCGTTCTTGGGACATTACGGACCTCAAATAATTATTTAATAATTTCAGCTTCGAAAAGGTTCTTTCAGTTGAGGCCACAGTCACATGCATAGTAAATAGGATCCAATAAGCAATAAAAATATTAGGATAACAATCGGCTTCTATGGCAAACTAAAAATCTCCATAGTATACATTGGCTTATTTGGCAGAGTAAACTGTATAACAGCTAACTCAGAAATCAGGTCATTTACATCAACATCCGACGAACCATCCGAAGAGAAAGTTTTTGCAAATTTCATGCATTGGTCTTTTAGATCAGCACCATCCAATGCATTCATTAGAAATCTGAATTTTTCATTGAATGACTGGAGTTCTTTAAATATGCTTTTCAATGAACTAATTGCCTTATCAACCATAACATTCAAATAACTTACATTAAAATCCTTCTCAGCTTGCAAAATAGCTTCATTAATTAGAGTCAGTTTCATCAAATTGTTTCTTCCTAACAGAACGACGCTTTATTGGAAATGGATGCCTCTACTCCCATTTCAAGTCCAATTTCTGTGCAGCAACCAGATTATCATCAAATCCATTATTTCTATAGTTCTGAAAGTAATTCACCATACCTTCTATATGCTGCAAGGTAGAATCAATGCACATGGATGGTGATTGCAACTTCTTACTCACAATATTTACAGAATATAAAATGTCATGCCAGATAACCATGCCAAGTATGAACTCAAAGCTGCCAAGCACGTCATATAAATTTTTTGCATCACTCCTATCCTTTGGTTTAGTATCTCTATCCTCACTTAGCCACAACAAATTAAAATTGATCTTAGTTGAGGAGCTTGATATCTAATTGCTCGGACACTTTTGATGCGACTCTCCCAACGAGTATTGCTCAATGATTTCACGGTCAAATCTTGAACATGTTCAAGCAAAACATTGCATCTTTTGGTAGAACCTGAAAATAGTACATATATCCTCTGCACAGTTCCAAAGAATGAAATAGCTTTACTGCATGATTTATCCATATCACAAAGAGTGAGATTAAGACTGTGGCATGCACATGGCATATACAAAGCCCTTCGATTTATATCAAGCAAACGACT